AGTGTTGGTCATTATTATACAAGGTCACTTTGACCTAATTTCTGCTTGACAAGAAGTTGTTCCCAGTAATGGCTGCGCTAATTCTTTTCACTGGAAATTGAGCCTACTATATTTGGGTTTTCTCATATACTGTGAAAATGGCATTCAACTTTAACATAAGTGTGCCAGAAGATTCTTCATCAAAAGCATGTCTCAGCTACAGGAAATAGGAAATCACAAAATAACTTTTCAGGTGAAATTTGAACCCAAATCTCAGCCCACAGGGATGTTATCATTCATGAACTGCTTTTCTAACACATCTGGTTATCCTTCCAAAAACATCATAATTTCTTGTTAACATTTTCTTGCTACATTTCTTACCAACTTAGTAATGTTAAGCTCAGCTAAAAAAAATGGGATCTCTCTCAGGAATGTTTGGGGTTAAAATCAGGAGATCTGTAAATGGTATTAAATAATCAATGACTCCCTGAATAGCTGGTGGAAGCCTGCCTTGGGTCCCACGTGGTTCTAAGCCATGCTTGCTTAAATATGGTTCATTTAAAAGTGAATCCAAAACACTAAGCCTTAAAGCAGAGTCTGGTGTCTATTTTTTATGGCTGTGCCCTCTTTTTTATCATTTGTTCAGCCATCAAGAGCCAAGGGCTACGTGATGATGGTGACACTGCAGAATTCAGCTTTAGATGACTTGTGAGCTGGACGGGATAAAATATGTGTGTTAAGCATATTAAAAGCTTAATTGCCTTATTTAATTGCACTGAGGAAAATTAATTTGAAAAAGAAACCTTGGATTCTGTATATTTTAAATAAGGCAGTATATCAAAATAAAGTAAACCATAAAATAAACTACGACTTATATTGCAGTCCTATGCAGGTTTGAAAACTGCAAGCCCCGCATAAGAATAAAGTTCACTGAAGTCAGCAGGATTTACTTTGAATAAACATACACAACTATACTGTTTACATAAATTTCTAGAAATGGCATTTATTTAACTGTATATATGCATTTAGATGTACATTACATTTTAAAATTGCTTTCTTCTGCTGTTAGCAATATCTCTAAATAACATTGTTCACAGAATAAAAATATTCCTTCTGTTAGTTGCAAATTCATATCCACACCTGCTGAGTTTCATACAGAGAAAGACTTTGGAGCAAAATTTTAAATGTGGGAAATTATGGTTAAAGCAGCAGGAATACTTATGGTTAGCGTGCAATGCTGGACTGAAAACACAATAAGAGTAATGTTATTGTAGTTGTTGTTCATTAAATTTGTTATGGCTGCCCAGTCCAGGGGACTCTGGGTGACTTACAAAATCCAAATACACCGTTAAAACAATTAAAAAAAAAAAGCAGAACATGACAGCCTGGGCTAAAAACAATAAAAACATGACATTTTCACAAATACGTTAACCTCAGGCCTGGGAAGAGCTGACTCTTCAGGGCTTTCCATAACTCTTTCCATAACCCTTTCCATAACTCCAGGAGTTATGCCTATCTCGGGGGATGCTGTTCCAGAGGGCAGGGGCACAACTGAGAGGGCAGGCTTCTTCAGTCCCACAAGATGACAACGTCTAACAGAGGGGAACTGGAGCGCACCCACTCTGCACAAACGTACCTGGTGGGCAGAAACAATTGGAGATAGACGGTCCCTCAGATAACCAGGCCCTATGCTTTACTTACTTTTTAGGCAACTGAAAAATGGATACAGTGCTTTATTAGTACTCTGTAGTTATTTGCAGTTGTATACCATCTAGATGGCAACTCCTGGCCAACATTGGCTGATCCTAAATAAATAAATAACGATATCAGGACCTAGGAAGCCTACAGTTGTAGGTTACCTAGGAAATTGAAGAAAACATCCTGGAAGCTGACAATGACAAATTTCTTTATTGCTGTCAAGAAAAGTACATATTCAGTGCCCAAAGTCAATTAAAGGGTTTGTTTGTTTGTTTGTTTGTTT